ATGAGAGCAATATTTCTAGGGCCATCAATCACTGATAACACTAAACTGATGAGCGGTAAAAGCTTTTAAAGCGTCACATATGGTCAATTTTGAGTATGGTAGTTTTTTTGCGATTTAACGGGTGCCCGCAATTTTAAAGCTCGACATGTTTGGTGTCTATTTAACCGATGTAACCCTGTCTTTTATATTTAACCAAAAAATTGGGTAATAATAAATGTTTTATAACATAACGTAGGGAGAACAGGTTTTTTTCAAAACTTTCGGTACTTTTTTTATTATACAGTAAAAAAAAAAAAAAAAAACGTAGTGGTGATTAAATACCACCAAAAGAAAGCTCTATCTGTCCCCAAAAAATGGTATAAAATTAATTTCAGTACAGCGTTGCATGACGGAATAAATGTCAGTCAAATTACCGCAGCGCTGAACACTGAAACATGGCCTGGCCAGGAAGGGGGTATAAACACCCCGGTCAGCAAGTGGTTAATAATGCCATGAAGGTGTGTTTACATGCCATTAAAAACAAATGGCACGCAGTGCACCAAATGCTGTGCTTTACCACATCACAAAAGAGTGTGTCCGGTCTAAAGAAAACTGAGCACAATGACATTGTCTATTGGTTCTTCTTGGAAAAACACATACTTGGTTTTGGATGGCTTTCTTCAACAACTGCTTCCCACGACACAGAGCCGGCTGAAAGACAAAGAAAGTAATGGTACATGAAAGTTGGCAATGGGCAGGAGCGCACCACTAACTCATAAGCAGAAGTAGCTGGTAGCATGGACTTACACAGCAAAATCTGCATACACTGTACAAGAGCCCACTTACCTCTATATTCTCGGCAGCTTGCCGTTTGCAGTGCGCACTTCGTCTACCTGCCACAGAGCTTCCATTAGCAATTTCCAGAGCCTTCTTGCTTCCAGTCACAACATAGTTAACATCTCTGCTTAGGAAGCCCTCGATAACCTGCAAGAAGAGAACACAGATGGCGAAATGAACTTAAGAATCCCAGTTTGCTTCCATAGAAATACACAGAAGGCACTTTTAGGACTGTTATACTTATTGATAGAATGAGTGCGCTTATTCTCTATGCCTCCCTTTCCCTGACCTCAAAGAGCCCTCCATTCCCCTCCAACACTTGATAAAAAAGGCCATTGGTATTCATCGACTTAGCTATGTAATATGACTCATTCTGTATTCATCGTTATGTTACACAAATTACTTGTTATATACTAATCTATCTGTATATTGTTGCCCCCTTTTAGGCGTACAACTCAGCCCACACTATATCTTTTATATGGTATATATGCCCGACCACAAGTATGAAGGTTAATATATTAACCTGTATTTGTGGGAGGGGATTATGGCTATATGAACTCCTCCTCTTCCCTTTCCTGCCCGATGTTGTAGGGGAAGCGTTTGTCCCCACCCACCCATCCCTCTTCATAACTTAAAATCCCATCACTTTTTCATTTGGTATGCTCCCTTTTAGGCGTACCTAACAGCGTGGCCACGGGCACACCACATTAGCTTATTGGCACAACTCAGCCCACACTACTGTATATCTATTATACGGTATATATGCCCGACCACAAGTACTTTTAGGACTGTTATACTTATTTAAAGTATGAGTGTGCTTATTCTCTATGCCTCCCTTTCCCTGACCTCAAAGAGCCCACCCTTCCCCTCTGCACATTTATACATCCCACACTGAAGTCCTCTCACTGTTGACTGCGCCTGACATAGCAACTTGGGAGCGGTTACATTTTCTGGTGTATAATATAATCTGCTAATGAACACAACCTCCAAGTTCCTGCATTACTGGAGTCTTCACTTACCCCTCCCAGTCTGCAGATGGCTTTAGTAAGGAGCTGGGTGTTCTTGGTATGAGGGAGGTCCAGGTAAAATAACTTCCCCTTGAAAGTGATGCTTTTCCGTCTGTCCAGCATTCTGTGTCTCTCTGTGGGGGGGCGCTGACATGCTTGGAAATGGGATATAGATTCAGTATACATATCAATGCATATTGAAAACAAAACATTCCATTCATAAATAAACGCTGCATTTTTTCTTTTTTTCTGGATAAAGTAAGGCAGGGTTATAACCCACGTCAACTTTTTTTTTTTGCCATCTGTGTATCATTGGGAAGAATTCCTTTCACTTCCTGCCCAATATCCACAAGAGAAAGTGAGAGGAAATCTCTGGTAATCAGCCGGGCCACTAATTGGAAGATTCGTCATCTATTCCTGTGCTGGTGACAACCCAAACTTTGTGATTTGCTTTCAGTGATATGGTCACAAGGACAAATAGAGAGTTATCCTGTTCCATTGAGGAGCATAGGATCCAAGTGAAAGACTTCCAATGTTGATGTTCCCAGCCTTTGATTTGACCTGCAGCCAGGTCAGGTTCACATCAACAGACCTCATCAAATTGAATCTAACGGGGACACAGACAGCAATAAAAACCTGACAGGGGATCTAATCCTTCTCCACTGCATCTAAAACTAAACAGGAAAATGCTTTTGGCCTTAGTTGCACTTTAACATTCTGATAATACAAATGATTACAATAACCCACCCATAAAAAACACAAGTAGCCATGAATGGTAAACAGCTCACTGTGATGTTTGAGGCCGATCTGCCCAGCCCGTCCTAAGAATATTCCTATATAAAAAGAGACTTACCGGAGGCCACTGGGGTCGGTGCGGCCATCACGCCTAAAACAATTCAAGAAACAAAATAAAAAAATACATAAAATCAGAAATCAAAGTAATGGCTGTGTATTCTATTACAGAGTCTACACAGAAGCATGTCTGTATTAGTCATTGTGCAATAAAGAGGCCCTGTCACCAGACAAAACTTTTACCTTTATACAATATGAGCTCAGTCTCTGGAGGACTTCTGTGGCAGCTGACTGAAGAGAATAAAAGTCTATGATGCTGTGGTGCAAAGGGTCGGATGTATACACACACTGGAATACTGCCGACCATTTACCACCATGCAGCTCGTGGTGTCACTCTGCCCCGCCCCCCCCCAATGCTATCTACACCCAAGGTTCTCATGTGGTGGGTCGCGCGGGCCTCCCACTGAGCAAGGTGAGAGGCTCCTCAGCCCCAGTGTACCACTGTCAGTACTCACGCCAAACAGCCATTCAAAATATGCTGCCCGGCACTGAGTGTCAGCTTGGGGTGGGCTGAGGGCATGGCTGTGAGCGAGCACCATCAATACTTACAGCTCCCTCGACTGTCCTGTAGCGGTATCTGGACTGGAGCACTGAGTGTATTATGCTGTGCTGCATGTACGTCAATAAATGGACGTATCTGATTTGCAATTTGGAATACCAGTGTCCATACTTCTACCTATGTATAGAGACGGTGGCCATCCATCGACAGCCATTGCACCCGCTTAATTTTGGAACAGTGGCTCTGTATGGGTATCTGGCCCCGCATGCCATCACATTCTGGCTCCAGACACCTCTACAGGGCACACAAGGGGGTTGCACAAACAATGCGCATATGGCTGGAGCTGCGTCACAGCACAGCAGCCCACACTGGATCCGGGCTGAGCATCCACTCCAGTTCTCGTAATGTAGGGGGACTGGGGGGATCCTAAAATTAGAAAGAAACATTTTTTTGTGTGTGTCAGTGTTTATGAGGACCCGTTCACAATTGTACAGTGTATTAATCACACAGTCCCATATGATTAACGCACTGATAATCGCACCTACTTGCACATTCTGGTGTAGTAGGTGCATTTCCATTCATTTGAATGGCACCCCAAATCCCCCCCATAGTTCGATTGTCTGCACCTGAATGTACAGTACCACAATGCGGTGTGACTTAATGACGAAGGACCAATGTGGGCCCTGAGGTCACACAGGTTGAGATCCACTGCTCTACACCTTTGACAGCATCCAGAGGAAGTGCGGTCAAGGAGGGGAATGTATCAAAACTGGAGCAGACCGAATCTGGAGCAGCTTTCCGTGGCAACCAATCAGCTTCTTTCATTTTCAAATATTAACTAAACAAACTGCAGTTAGAAGCTGATTGGTTATTATGGGCAACTGCTCCAGATTGTATAAATTCTCCTCCTTGTGTCACTCGGGCCCTCTTGTGTTATCCATGTCCAGTGATTGCAAAGACTGATGGAAAATCCAATCAGGGGGGTGGAATTTATCAAAGCCAGAGCAGACACTATCTGGAGCAGTCATTCATGACAACCAGAGTCCATCTTTCTTTTTTAAAGCTAAATTGAAAAAAGGAAGCTAATTGGTTGTCATTGGAAACTGCTTCAGATTCTGTCTGCTCCAGGTTTGATAAATCCCCCCCCCCCCTTTGGAGTTTCCAATCAGCCTTTTGCAATCACAGTACAACATGGCTTAGCAACACGATAGGGGGAATCGGGAGCAGTTGTCCATAGTAACCAATCAGCTTAATTTTTTTCACTTTGTTCAGTGAAGCTTTGCAAATGAAAGATTCTGATTGGCTGCCATGGGCAACTGCTCCAGCTGTAATGAATTGCCCTCTGTGAGTTGCATGGTGACGCTGGTCCAATGCCGATTGCTGGATAACCTAAGCGCAGACACAGGTCAGGTCCGGTGCTTTGTATCTACCAAGGTAAATGTGTTCTATGGCTGTTCAATGTACAGTCTAAGATGAACGTCCTCATGTCCACCTCAGAAGGACACACAGCCATGGACACCAAGGCCACATCACCACACTAAGAGCTATGGAAGGAGGCCCAGCAGAGGAACATGTAGTATTGTGGACACCATTCCAACTCTTATGTCAGTATATGACAGGTTCTCTTTACTACTGCCCCTATATAAATTAATTGACTCACAGTTCCGTCCAGGACAATGGCCACTCTGTGTGTGTACGGAACTCTCCGCCGCTCTCTCTCTCTCTCTCTCCCCCTCACTGAATTTTAAACTCAGCCACTCCCGCCTACTCTGGCGACGGTGAGCCAAAGGGGACATAACAGGCGGCGGAGCGGAGTTTGCGCGGTGTGACGTCAGCGACCGGCCCCGCCCTTCTCCCGGGGACGGAGCCCAGCTTGGCGGAAAAATGGCGGCGCCCAGCGAGCAGGTGGCTGCCGGTGATTTCGGCTCCTGGCTGGACGGGAGGCTGGAGGCGCTGGGCATGGACCCGGAGGTGTACCCGGCGTACATCCAGGGGGTGCTGCGGGAGGAGGACAACCCGGAGGAGAGGGATGAGGCTCTCAGGGGGATCCTGGCCGCCTTCTTGGTGAGACCTGGTGGTAGAGGGGTCTGACACTAATACTAACACAGCCGGGGACTATAGAGTCCCTGAGGGCATTCTGCTAAAGCGGACCTGTCACGACAGTAATGGTATCTGCTGGTGTGTGCAGTGTGACGATCACCCCAAAGCAGGGGACGGCAACGCCAGCTGTGCTTAAACTTCAAATCCCAGCATGTTTCTGGGAGTCAAGCCTATAATTCAGACTTGCACTGCCCCATGGGACTTGTAGTTCCACAACAGATGGAGGGCCAGGGTTGCCCACCCCTGCCCCAAAGCCTTCTGAGATGTGTGTGGTAAGTATTCCAGGACGCTGTGGGTAGCCAGGGACTCATTCACATCTATGGGCGGAGCAATGTTGGAATAAAGTAAAGGAGGGGGAGGAGCAATGTTGGAATAAAGTGGATGTGGTAAAGGAAGGGGAGGAGCAATGTTGGAATAAAGTGGATGTGGTAAAGGAGGGGGAGGAGCTATGTTAGTTGCCCCAGGCCCATACAGAGGTACAGCCCTTCAGTTATGGGGTTTGGAGGATGTAATCAATGGTCTACAAGTACAGGGACTCACCACTTGCCTCCATTGAGATCTAGCCGTCCCTATGACATGGTGGTAGATGGGACTTATTCTTTACATTCAGAGATCCTTGTGAATGGATGACATGGTTGTGTGGGCGGAGCTACACATGGCTGCTCCAAATGTGATTGAGGAAGGGAGAAGAACCCCTCAATTTAGACCCCATTCACACCGGGGCGGTTCGGCCGCACGGATCCGCCGATATGAACAAACATTACTATGGGGACCGTTCATGCGACAGCCCGCATGATCCGAAATGCTCCCTGCACTATTTTTGAGCACTGATCAGTGCCGTTTCCATACAGGTTTCAATGGAACCGTGCGGTTTTGGGCGTTTTTTATTGCGTTTCAGTGCTGAAACGCAATTAAAAGCTCCCAAAACCTCCCTTGCGAGATCAGCGCGGTAAACGCACTGATCCGCAACCGCCCTGGTGTGAATGGGCTCTTAGGTAAGTGGTGGGGGATGGGACCATATTGACTGTTACATCCTAAATAATGGTGTAACATGAAACGCACTGACAAAGGTGGAGTATGCTTTGAATCCCCCTTCAGAAAATGCGTTCTCTGGATATCATAATGCTCTTTGGACTCCTCCATCCACATCTGGCTGGCTGCATGCTTTTTCCAGGACGGGGAATGTACTAAAAGTGAATACTTGCTGTGCTCTGATTTGTAGTTCTACAACACAGGACAGCACTCCAACTGGAACTAAAAATCCCATGAGGCTTTGCAAGCTAATATCAGCCACGGACATGACTCCCAGGGGCATGATGGGATTTGCAGCTGGAGGGCTGAAGTTGCCTACCCCTGGTCTATAAACCCTCAGAGCATGCATACTGATTACCTTCCATGTCCAGTGCTCGGTCACATGTGACGTGTCTGATGTTATCATTCACTGATGGGCTTGTCATGGGTTCGTGCACGTTACTGCGCTCTAGTTTAGTAGCCGCTCTAGTTTAGTAGTCGTGGTCAGTCTCGTGCCCAGAATGTATGTACTAGTACATACTAGAAGAGATTACTACACGTCTCTGAATGTCTATTACAGGACCAGTAATCCCAAACAATGAACAACATTGGTGCAAGTAAATCAGTACTTAATCAACGGCATCGGACTGCATCAAGACGCATCGCAATGCAACTGCGCACACGCACGCAATTGTGATGCAGTTTTTGGTGTGAAGTAACCCCAAGTCCCAGGCTGGGGGTGTGTCCAGGAGGACCTGGGGTTAGAGGAAGAGAATGATGTGAGGACCTGTATTGACAAACCCAAGTACTGCAGTGGGGATCTCCTGAGGAGTGAGGGTGAATGATGCAGGGAAGGCTGCCCGTATTTTATATTGGGTTATTCTGGTCATTTCTTCCTGCTGTTCAGCATCAAGGCAGACTCTGTATTGGAGTGGGAAGCCAACATACCACTATGGACCTCAAATCGCATCTGAGCTACTTTTACCAATGCAGTGTTGCAGTAAAGTACGTTAAGATGCATGTGTGTGGCCGGCCTGAGGTACGGCATCATAAAGAAGACTTGGCTTATGTCTCCATTCAAGAGTATAAGGACATAGTGCAGGCACAGCCATCGCTGAGCTAATGTCTGTCTGTAAACTGTGCGTAGTGTAAAGTAACTTGGGGCGTGTGTAATAAATAAAGAAGTATTGGGAAAGTAAAATATACTTGGATCCGTTGTGGTCACACAACAGCTCTGTATACCGAGAGCTGAGAGGTCATGTGACCACTGATCGCTCAGCTCACAGTCTTCTCCCTGCAGAGAGGAACGACTGTCAGTCACTGCACCCCCCTCTTTGTTTCTCCAGTACTCATTGGAGGGACAGACAGGGAGGAGGCGGGCACAGTTGGATCTAGAGAGGCAGAGCCAGCTGTCAGTCAAGCAGCCGAGTGGATTCTGACATTGTCGGGATTCTTCCCAGCTGCAGACTGGGTCTGAGCTGTCATTATATAGCAGGCAGCAGACCTCTATGTGCTGACTTTGGGTACCAGGAGGACATCGGTAAATGTAAAGTAAAGCCAACAAAATGTACTTCTCTCTTAAGTGGACCTTTAACCCCTTTCTCTAAAAACCACATCTGCATGCAGCTCTGGATGCTGATATAAAAGCATCTTACATTGATTACTTAAACAAACTTGTTTTTTTATTTACCATCTACTTCCTGGTCCTCTTCTGGCACAAATTATGTAATGTGCTCAAGCGTTGCATTATGGGAAGGTTCCATCAGCAGAGCCTTGCTGGGAAATCTCATCTGTAATCGCACGAGATCTGAGGGAAATGCATTTTCCTCCCATGAGATGATGTGCATGGTCACATGTTCTAGTCACATGTGCCAGAGTTCCAGGAAGTAAAGGGAGGTCTAGTAATCTGCTCTTGGCAAACATGGTCACTGTCAGGAGACTGGGAAATACAAAACTGGCAATTATCTAGAAGTATGTGTTGGTAGATTGTCATCATTAAACACTTCTGAAGGTGTGTGTGTGTGGTTGTTTTAAAGATAGGAATAAGCCCTCCTTACCATCTTGTCTTGAATTGTATTGTGATTGTAATGTCTTCCTTATATTGTAAAGCGCTGCGCAAACTGTTGGCGCTATATAAATCCTGTGTAATAATAATAATAATAATCTGAATAAAGTTCTTTAACTAGCACAAAAAAACCAAAAAGTATTCCTAAACCTTTTCTAATGAAGCCAGATGATGGGATAACAGCGATAAACAACTCGCTGATACACGACGCACAGCGACTCCACAAATCTAAATTGTAAAGAAAAGGGTTCAGTGGCTCCAGGTGTATAAAACAGAATGGAAAAAAGACACAATGATGTCTAACAAGTCAATGTCCCGTCTAAATTGTGTGTTCTTGTTTTGTGCTTTGGCTGCAGGAGGAAGATTCCATAGAAGATGTCTGTCTAGAAATTATAACTAAGTGGAGCGAATTCCAGAAAATGCAGTTGGCACAGGCGAAGCAGGAAGGTAACACTCTGGCTGGTTTTTGTTTCTAGAGGTTTATATTGTTTTCCGTCTTCCATGTACACCAAGGAGCGTGGATGGAAGAATCTGCACTGCTGGCTACAGTATTCATACAGCTGTCTTGATACCTACACAGTGACTGCATCTGATAAGTCACTATTCGGCTCACAATTTTGCACCCAGCACCTTTTTTTGATTTTTTTTTTTTTAAAGCTGGATGGTGCCAAAATTTCAACCGGTTCAGTAGGAATCTGCGGAAATGCGAGCAGTGAAGAGCTTGCAGGCGATTTTGGTGCCTTCATTTGCGTTTTTTCTTTAGGCTTGAGCGTTTTTGTTTTAGCCAATGGAAAGCTAGGAGGAGATGATTGTTAGATGCAAACAATGTGTGCTAGTCATGTGATCTATTCTTATTGAAGTCTATGGGGCTGTAAAATAGGGCCAATGACTCATATACAGGCTCACATACTTCTGACACAAGTGACACAAAGGTGTGAACGGTCACTGTTGAAAACAATGGGGTTCTGAATGTTTGCATTGTTGCACTTTGGGAAACGCATGACAAAATATCTGTAAAAAATAAGTCAAGGCAACTGGACTTGCTGTGTTTTTCTGGATGAATGAGAACCTTCAGACATGTGACAAAATGCTCAGGTGTGCATGGGGGTCAAGTCTCTCCATCACTCTCTCCTACTATCAGCATGCTTCGTCTCCTTCTTCCTGTCTGAGGTACGCTGTTCAGGGACTTCAAGAGATATCAGATGAAATGTGTGTGCTTACACTGCTTGTATTTCACAAATGATGATTCATAGATACAAAGCTACATTGATTCCCATCTATAATAAAAGCGATTTTTATCTTCCTGTCCAGATGAGGTGGATGCGTTGGCCAGCATGATAGAGAAGCAGGCACAGATTGTGGTCAAGCCCAAAGAGGTGTCTGAAAAGGAGCAGCAACGAAAAGCCGCCTTGCTGGCCCAGTACGCCAATGTCACCGATGACGAGGAATATCCTTTACGTCTTGCTTCTTGTAGTTGTGGTTATGGAAAGCTTTAGAGATCTTTTTTTAGGCAAGTTGTGGCTCTCTGGCTGTATTACTAATCCAGATTATGCAGACGTGTTACTGCTTTTACGTCAAGGCATGCAATTTCTTTTTACGTTTTGGATAGAGTATGGGAGGGTTCTAACCCTGTCTTTGTTTTCCCATTGGGGAGAGTTCACTTCCTGTCAGCCACAACAGGATCAGTGTTTTTCTGTACTTGCATTTTATTATAAGGGGAAGTGCACACGGATTGCAGATATGTACTGTTGTTGTTTTGTTTTTCTTTCTCTTGAACTACACTATCCTTCGGTACAGGTTTTTCAGAAAGATCTTGATAGTCACTGCGGTCTTGATTTCCTTAATTCTGCTTACTGAAGCTGAGGGTGAAGACGTGACTAGTTCAATAGGAGCCCAGAACGATAAGTGTATCCTTTCTATTCCAGAATTCACTCAGATATATATCATGTTACCTGATGGGGGGAAGCATTCTCAGTTTCTTGTGTTACCTGCCTCCTGACAACATGCCAGTGCTGCCTACGGGGTCAACTGCAGTAGTCAGGTCCCCCCACCCCAAAGGCTCTTTCACCAAGATGTTTGGTCTTGTGGCTCTAAGTGGAGGGGAAGTGTTTTGGCATAAGGTTTTAATCAATTTCCCTACCTACCTCTTCCCGGCCTCAACTCTCTTGTTGGGTCTGTGTACCTGCTATCTTGGTCAGACATTTCTGGACCCCTTTGTGGTGTTCCTGTGAAATTCAGTAGTCAAGGAGTAATTGGTGGTCTTCTCCCTAGCTGCCTTTTTCCCCATTGTTGCATGAGACATGGGGGTGTCTGCCCCAGGATTCCCATCCACTTCCTCCCTTCCCGAGCTGTCCAACAAAAGTGGCAGATAAGAGGATTTAGACAAACCTTCTAACACTGACGGGTGCTTACAATTGGGTGTCATTTTAGCACCTAGACAAAAATGAGCACTTAAAGGAGAACTATGAGGCAAGTGATTTTCACTCAACCTCATAGTTGGAGCCGACCTGTGACAATGAAACTGTCACAGGTCGGCTCAGTAGATCGGGAAGTGAGCGAAGACATCCCGGCATTCACTCACCTCTCGATCATGTCCCTGCAGAGAGCCGTGATTGTCACTCAAAGACATCCCGGCATTCATTCACCTCTCGATCATGTCCCTGCAGAGAGCCGTGATTGTCACTGAAGGCTTCCTGCAGGGATTCCCCTGTCCGATTCTCCAGCGCTGACTTTGCAATCGGGAAGTGAGCGAAGACATCCCGGCATTCACTCACCTCTCGATCATGTCCCTGCAGAGAGCCGTGATTGTCACTCAAGGCTTCCTGCAGGGATTCCCCTGTCCGATTCTCCAGCACTGACTTTGGGGAGGGGGCAGGCACAGCTGGCTGTGCATCTAGATAGGCAGAGCCAGCTGTCAATCATGAAGCTGGATGGATCTCCACAGTAATGTCGGGATCCGTCCCGGTTGCGGCGTCTCAGTATACAGCGAGCTGTAGCTTGCGATATACTGAGGTTTTTGTGACGGGAGGACGCTAGTATATGTCCTCTCGTGACCCTTAAGAGAACTATGGGGAAAAGCACTGACCCCATAGCTCTCCTTTTTAAAGCGGACCTTTACCCATATCTTCAAAGTAACAACACACACACCTTTTAGAAATGTTTAGTAATGACAATCTACAAACGCATACTTCCAGATAATTGCCGGCTTTGTATTCTTTGCATACATTATTTCTCTTTTCTTCCAGTCTTCTCATAGTGGCCATTTTAACTAAGGGCAGGTTACTAGATTTCCCTTTACATCCCGGAACTCTGGGACATGTAACCATGCACATCATCTCAGTGGAGGAAAACTCCTTGCCCTGAGATTATAGATGAGATTTCCCAGCAATGCTCTGCTGATGTAAACTTCCCAGGATGCAACGCTTGGGCACATTACATCATTTGTGCCGAAGTGGAGGGGGGAAGAAATTATTTGAATAAAAATGTTTGTTTAGCTTTTGAATGTAAGATGATTACATATCAGCATGCAGAGCTGATTTTTAGTCAAAGGGGGCGAAGGTCCACTGCAAGGGTTAAGAAAATGTTTCCCTGCAGTTCTTCTTTAAAACTGATAAGTACATGACACCTACTAAGACTTAACAGCTCTATTTTTCATTGTTTTGTCTTTGTTGTGCATGTCCAGAACTGTTCTCTTGCAGTTTTACTAATATAGGAGTAGCATGTTGCAGTGTGATTGCAGGGACACTGCATTTAATGCCTGCATCCCTCTGGTACCTTCCTAGGAAGTTGGTGCAGAGTGCAGTGACTTCCCTGGATCTGACCACATGACCTGTAATGTTAGTGTTGTCTACAGACACCGATAGATGTGTTTTTAGTTTGCTTTCTCTATAACACACCGTTTTTATTAAGCCTTTAACTGGTGTCCAGCTTTGTTCAAGAACACCAATTTAGAAGACATCGTTAATGCAAGGAAGCTTGAACGTGATACAATGCGGGATGCTTCCCACAAGAAAAAAGAACAAGATAAACAACAACGGGACAAGGACAAACAAGCCAAACAGGAGCGTAAAGACAAGGAGAAGAAACGCACACAGAAAGGAGAGCGCAAGCGATAAGGTGGTTGTCACGGGCGGGTTGAGTGGCTGTGGTATTGGCCACGACCTCTACAGTCATATTCTGCTAGGGTGCCTCAGATCTGAGTTTGTCTCACTTCTAATGGACCTTGTTGCTGAACATTTAATAACCGAAGTTGCCAAATTACAAGTTTCACCTGAATACAGGAGCAAGCTGAGAAGAATCATTCGTGGGAAAGATGACAAAAACAGACTAATAATGAGATCTCCTCCTATAGGACAAGCCTGCAACACGAGCAGTAGGCCTCCAGCAGCAGGGGGATGATATGATGGGGCTCCTTTTCTCTGCACTGACAATATATTTATACAATTGTAAATTATCTCAAATAAAACACTGCCCGGATCACTGACAAAATGTCTTTGTTGTGTGGGAATGGAGGAGGGATCATTGCCTTAAAGTGTAACACTGAAATGTTTCATATTAATATTGGCATATATTTACTAGGGATTAGAGGTGCACCGAAATTAACATTTCAAAACCAAAAGAAGTCAGGCCGAAACCGAAAAATGTTTTTTATTTTAACTTTTTCAAATTCTTTTAATTTTTATAAACATTTACATTTTTAAAATAGTTTTATTCATTTATTAAATATTTTTACTTTACTTTTAGGGGCTTCGGGGAAATATTAGGGGTCTAAACAGATATTTCCCTTTTTTAAAATAGAAAGAGTCCTCAATCTCTTTTTCTGTATCCCCTGTTATAAATGAATACGAATCCTCTATCCTGAGTGTTCCTGTTCCTTTATAACATGAGAACAGAGTGTGTTTACAATAACTATGAATGAACAGGAGGTGATATAGATCACTTCCTATTCATTCATAATTGAGCATATAGTAACTATACTCTGTCCTCCAATATTTACAAACACTCAGCGATCACTGACTGCTTGTCTTTGCTCTCCTTCCTGACAGCTGGCACAGAAGGCTGAGAGAGCGGAGCTCGGCCTCCTGTGACAGCGCTGGCTGTCTCTGCCCACACTGCTCTACTCTGATCTGTGATAGGAGGCTGAGCGCTGCGGGGAGGAGGGACGCCAGCCGCTCTCCTGCCTGTGACAGTTTCTCTCCTCCCCGCTGGGACACAGCAGCGCCCAGCGGGGAGGAGAGAAAGCACATATGTGCCGCTGTATCGGGCAGAATATGGCACTTTCGGCATTAGGCCAAAAGTGCAATTTTCGGGCGATATATCGGTGCATCTCTATTAGGGATGCACAGTTACCGTTTTTTTGCCAGTCATCTTCCAGGACAGCCAATGAGGGAAGGCTCCGCCTGCCTGCAACAGGAAACGCATCAACCACATTAACCCCTTCGTGACTGACGACGTACAGTGTACGTCGCCAGCATCGGGGCTGTTTAAACAGACTCCCGGCGATTTTTGCCGCCGGGAGTCTGTTTAAACTTGTAGAGCCGACTGTCGGCTTTACAACAGAAGCGATCCTGGCGACTTACCTGTCGCCAGATCGCTTCTGCGTCCCGAAGAAGGGGCCGCCCCCCCCCCGGACACCCCCGCCGTGCTTCCCGGGCTCCGTTGCCCCTCCTACGGGCCCGGGACCGGCGATCTTTGTGTCCGCGGGGAGCTGGGGAGGAGGTCGACGAACTTCCGTTCATCGATCCCCTCCCCGTTCTATGGGACCGGGAGCGATGCAGATTGCATCACTTCCGGTCCCTGGGCTGTCAGTTCTGGGCTCCTGCAGCCCAGGTCTAAGCTATTGAAGTGCGATCTGCACTTCAATAGCTTATTTCTAGTGTAAAGGTGACACTGAGGGTCTTTTGGACCCCCAGCATCACCTTAAAGAGGACCTGTCACCACCATCTGCTATTACATGGGGGGGCTTGCAAGCCCCCCCATGTGATAGCAGTCAAAGTAAAGTAAAAAAAAAAAAAAAAAAAGTTTTTAAAATTAAAATGAAATAAAATAAATCTAATAATAATAAAAAAAAATTTAAAAGTACCCCGCCCCCGCGAGCACGCGCGTCGCCACGTAAACACGCGTCGGGTGCGCCTACGCATGAAAACGACGAACGCGCTACACATGTTGGGTATCGCCGCGCACGCCGGAGTGAGAGCAATAATTCTAGGGCCAGTATTTTGGGGTATCTCTAAATTGATGACCTGTGGGGGCTTTTAAAGCGTCTTTTATTGACTTTTTGGGGTACTGCAGTTTTTCGCCGTTTCACGGTCGCACGCAATCTGTAAACTGGGCATGTTGGGTATCGTTTTACTCGTCGTAACCTCATCTTTTATATTTCATTAAAAAAATGGGTAATTTGTTGTGTTTTGGGGCATTTAATTAAATTTGTCACTAAATTTTGGGGTTTGATAAGGAGTTGCGCTAATATTGCGCAACATAAACATTTTCAACTACCACCATTTTATTCTATAGGGTCTTGGCATTCAGAAAATATATAATGTTGGGGGGTTTTACATCATTTTCAGGCCTAAAATGTGGAATATAACATGGGTGCAAAAAATGAAAAAAAGAGCCTCAGTCATGAAGGGGTTAAATAAAAAGCACTTCCTTCCACCCCAATTCAGTTTTTTTGTTTCCTACGGCTACACAGGGCCTATCAGCAAGGGTCGTGTCCACATTGCTGAAAAGTAGAAAACCGGTTACGTCAGCAATTTAACATAAAGTGTGGAAAGTTTTTTCGGGCTGGTACAACAAGCGAGGTAAACCAAAGGACGACGTGTTCCGTTGGTTTAGACTTTCTGCAGGAACGTCTGGAGAAAGGGTTGTCCTGTAGTACGTTAATTTTGTGGGTATCAAACTAGCAGACGAACCACTCATTAAACGGTTTTTGAGGGCATTGGTCAGAATAAAACCCCCAAGGGGAAGGGTGGTTCCAAATTGGGATGTCTCTGTAGTGTTACAGGGACAGGCCTAAAATGTGGAATATAACATGGGTGCAAAAATGGAAAAAAGGGCCTCAGTCATGAAGGGGTTAAGCATCCGTTTGAGCCACTGGGGGCGTGTACAATCCAGAATCTGACGATGAAAACCGCTCTCTTGGTAGCACTAGTTTCTGCCAGGAGAGTGAATGAGATTCAAGCCTTTTCTATTGCGGATCCATACGGCACCATCCTGATAGATAAAATTATTTTGCGGCCAGACGTGGGTTTTTTTTTGCCGAAAGTGGTATCCAATTTCCATAGGACTCAGGAAGTGGTCATACCTTCGTTTGCAACTACCCGACATCAGACAGGGAAAGGGAATGGCAAGGCATTGACGTACGCGTTGCGTCTTAAGAGTACATAGGAGTCAGGAAACCTTGGAGACAATCGGCCTGGCTCTTTGTAGTATTTGGTGGTCCACGTAAAGGGAACAGAGCCACAAAAAGCACTATAGCAAGATGGATTAAAATGGCCGTAGCTGAGAATTACAAAGCTCAAGGGGTAGTGTTGCCTGGTGCGCTTACAGCACACTCAACAGGGCTTGGGTGACTTCATGGTCAGAACGAGCAGGGGCTACTCCAGGCAACATCTGCAGAGCAGCCACTTGGTCCAGTTTCCAAACCTTCGTCAGGCACTACAGACAGGATCTTATGACACAACCGGACCAAGCATTTGGCAGGAAGGTCCTGCAAGCTGTTGTCCCACCCTAACGAGGTGAGATTTGCCCTCACTAATCCTCTCATTGGCTGTCCTGGAAGATGACTGGGGAAAACATGAGTTGATTACCTGATAACTCGGTTTCCAGGACAGCAGATTCCCTCCCTTGGTGAGTATCCGGGGGACATCCTTTATAGGATGGCAGAGGGGATACTATGGTACATTTGGTAGCCTTTGCAGGCAGGCGGAGCCTTCTCTCATTGGCTGTCCTGGAAGATTCCTGGAAACAGAGTTTATCAGGTAATCAACTCATGTTTTCGGTATCAAGTATCTTCCGCTAGCATGGAGCCGGCTTCATTATCTGCCGCCCGGCTTCCTGCTTGGTCGAGAAGCCAGCTCCATGTAGCTCCTCACCATTGCCGGTCAGAGGAAATCTCCCTCCGACTGGAAGTTCCGCTATCAGGGTTAAGTATTGGAGCATTTGGACAAGTACTCGTCCAAATACTCGGTATCGGTGTATTCCTAATATTTACATATTCTTAACCAGCAATAAAAGAGCTGACCTCTGTAGCTGCATTCACTGTGAGGAAATGGGTTATCAGAATTCTCAGCAGTAGCAGCATCCCTTGAAGAGCAAGTCAGGGGCCCCTTGGATACAGCATCTATGTACCAGCATTTTAAGCAGAGTGCTTTGCACGTCTATGGACACGAGACCCACATAGGATGCAAAGTTAGATGCTTCTAGCAAGCCGTAACAACTGAAGTGTAAAACTCCAGACATCTGCTCCACATGCTTTTAAGAAGGGGTCTACACCAGCGGTGGAGAGATACTTTTCAAGGGATCGAACATTCTGCCAGTTTGACAGATTAAGGTCACAGCTACTACTGGACAGAGTTCAGAAACTGCCAGAACTGTCATGTTCAAGAAACCAGTTTGAGATGATGTGAGCTTTGTGCCATGGCATGTTATCCTGCTGGAAGTAGCCATCAGAAGATGGGTACACTGTAGTCATAAAGTGATGGACATGTCCAGCAACAATACTCGGGTAGGCCGTGGCGTTTAAACCAGTGATTCTCAACCTGTATAACCTCAGGACCCACATTTGTCCTTGGCCATTAAGTCACAACCCAAGTCACACTGCAATGGAACGCATAGCAGGTGCGATTGCACAGTGCTTTAATGGCACATGACTGTTTGATTAACGCACTGTACTAGTGTGAACTGGCCCTCGAAAACAATGACGGACACACACAACAACAGACAATCTCACACACATATACACACTCCAAAAATAAATAAATAATGTTTTCCTTTTTTTTAAGATCCCCCAGTCTCCCTACCTTACGAGAAATTGAGTGGATCCTCAGCCTGGGGTCCAGTGTGGGCTGGTGTGCTGTGATGGAGCTCTATCCATATGTGTGCATTGCTTGTACAACCTCCATTGTGCGCCCT